CCCCTACTGAGCAGAGCACAGTTCTCCAAATAATCTCACTTGGTTTGTATTCTCAAATTATAATACCACAGGAGTCCACTGTTTCCATCTCTTTCACACCTGAGCAGTACAATAAATTCTGTTTTCTTAAAACACTTCTCTTTGTGTCCTTCTTATCCCCCGCTGCTTCTTCATTAGTTTAGTCATTGATTCCCTGTTACCCGAAAAAAAGGTGATATTGTTCTGACTAGTTTTCTTGTTCACTCTCCTACAGACCTTTAAAAAAGCATCTCCCAATTGAATTTTCCAGAGCTACGTTCTTAGGAAAAAAACCTAAAAATGTGCTTTTGGAGATTATGAGTTTGCTACAAAGTTTCTGATGAACAAGAAAGTTGTACAGATTACCATTACAGAATATGCAGTTATTTTCAAATTTAGGCTTTCTCAGTGTATAAAGAATATTCACATACTTTGTGCTCCACATATATCTGTGGAGTTGAAACCAACCAACAGATACATTAGGACTGCTAACCTTCAGTCTCATTTTCTAATTTTAAAATAGTGGATGACCACAGTAGACATATTAGCTAGTTACATTTCGAGCTACATTTTCAGAAATTGAAGGCAAAAGGGACATATTTTTGACATGTAAAATATAGTGGAAGTATCTACTATGTGCTTGGATGTAGCTATTTCATGACAAAAACAAGCTTGTTCTTGTTTTCTGATCTTTTATCAAGTGACATCTCAGCTTTTGTGAGATATTGGTTTGTCTCCTAGCATTTCATCTATACTCCAAGTAGAAAAAAATCAGAGAACGGTCTTATTTCTCACTGGGCAGACCAGGCTCATAGCTATGCCCAACTACAAGGAACTGAGGGAAACAGCACTTTTTGTACCTGCATATATTTCATTAAAATAATCATTCTATGTCATCAGTGTAGGTGAGAATAGATTTGTGTATATATCTGCTTTCATTAGTAATTGAAACCAAAATACATAATTTAAAAATCTTGCTCATATTGCTCACAAGCCTGTAAATCAGCTGAGTGACTCCTTTCATTTGGATCAACTTCTACTTAAATAGAACTGTCTCACATCTTCTGGGGCCTAGATGGCCTGACACTTGGCATTTTTCAGTTCTTCTGGTAAAGCATGAGGTGGTGACTGGCCCACACATCACATTATCCCACAGGCAAGCCTGGGCTTGTTCACAAGCACCAGGGAGTATGATTCCATGAGCAGCAAGTAGTCAACATGCAATGTGCAAATAATTTTCACATCTTGTCCTCATAACTTTTCCACTGAACCTGTAGTCAAATTAAGTCTTACAGTCAATCCAAGTCAATATAGAGGGATGCTATTGAATAACATCATTCCTGGGAGGCAAAAATAAATAGAACTGGACTATTACTATAATCAGTCTAGCAAATGTCATGCTACATTTACCTCAAGACAAACATGAGCACACTGGGAGAAATAAGTAAAATTATTCAAAGTGTATAGGTGTATAAACCACTTTCCTGTCACTGGAACAGACTAGCTGACACATATAACTTAAAATTTTTAATTTAGCTCATAGCTTTGAGGTTTCAGTCCATTGTCAACTGACAGAAGGTATAAATGTCGTGGTGGAAGGGAACAGTAGAGAAAAACTGCTTACCTCCCAGTGGCCAGGAAGAAGAGGAGGAGAAAGGGAAAAATCTGGGAGAAAAATACACACGTCCAGGTGATGCCCCCCAGTAACCCACCTTTCTAACCAGGTCTCAGCTCTGAACACATAATATATGGAGAAAAGAATTCTGGATCTAAACTGTAACATTTCAGCCCTGGCATCTCAAAGGCTCATGAACATGTTATTAGGCAAAATGCTTATAGCCCATCCCTAGGACTCACCAAAGTCTTAACAGTCCCAGCATTGGTTTAAAAAAAAAAAATCTGAGTTCAAAGTCTCATCTGAGACTCAGGTCAAATGCTTAGCTGTGAGGCCCCATAAAAATCAGAAGAAAATTAAACACTGCTACATTAACATTACACAAAGTACACATTCCCATATAAAATGTGGGAATGAGGAAATAGAAAAAAAAATGAAAGCAAGACCAAAACACAGCAGGGCAAACATTAAAACTTAGAGTTCCATGTTCAGCACCCAAGTCAGTGGGTGCAGATAGGTATACTCTTAAGAGTTTGGGCAGCGACTCCTGACTCTGCTGATTGCACTACACATGACCTCTTTATTGGGCTGGCTCTGTTCACTTCCCACAGCTTTATCCAGCAGATGTTCTACATTCCTGGTGTTTCTAACTTGCTGAGGTCTTCACTGCTATTTTGGCTTCACTCTTGGTAGCAAACTGCCTGTTCTTCCAGAACTTCCTCTGAAATCTTGGCAGAAGCCTATGTTACCCAGGAAATCCTACAGTCTGTATGCCTGAGAAAACATTATAATATAGAAGATACTGAAGGCTGCTGGCATCTCTAGTAGTATCCTGTGCCCCTTGGACCATGGCTGCAGTGTCCTCCAAGTACCTAGATGACTGAATTTAGAAAAGTGCTTCTAGGTAAAGAGCAGGATGCCTGGGCTCTCTTCTTAAAGCAAATACTTTCAAAGAAGATTAATCTTTAATACCATAGATCATGAAAACAGTGGATTCTCACAGATTCCTGAGATGCCTTCAATCCATCTTTTCCACTGTTCTGATGGAAGGTACATGATTTTTTTTTTAAATTAATGATAATCTTTTCAGGAACCATGAAGTCTTTGGACCCATCTTTTCAGGTGTTTCTGTTCTGGTGATACTGCAAACTTTTGAAATCACTCATCTCTTTGTTTTTTCTTCCCTAATTTTCACAATACATTTAGCTAAAAGCATCTAGTAGTACCCATGGAAGAGCCTCAATATGGGCCTAGATTGGCACTGTCTTCACTGGATCAAACAGTCTATATCTTAGTTACTTTTCTCATCGCTGAGACAAAATACCTTACACCCAAAGTTAAAGGATTAAATGTTTATTTCACTTCAATTTGTAGAGGTTTCAGTCCATAGTTGTCTGGTTCCAAAGCAGGGTGGCAGTGCAAAGGTATCTCCGAGGAGAAACAGTTCGTGACATTGTGAGCAGGAAGGCAGCACACAGTCAAAGCAGTGAGTAGCACCAGCACCCTGCCTTCTATCTATCCCTTTGTATTCCATCCGGGTTACAAGCCTAGTGACTGGTGCCACCCCACCAGGAGTTGGACTTCCATTGTCCATGTCCTTAATCCCAGTATCAGACCCTTAGACCACATTTACACACTGTAATCCAGCTATCCTTCACAACTGCTCACCTATGACTGCATGTGGCTTGTGTGTGGGGGGTTAGATACAAGCCATAACAGTCCTCAGTGTCAGGACATGGACACATACAGATAAATTCTTACCAGAATGAAACATCACTGGCCTCTTATCCAGTTTCCAAAAGACTCTTCCGACTCACCTGAAGCATCCTGAATTGGAACTCTATTGTCCACCTTCCTATCAGCATTCTGGTCTGAGCTCTGAGGAGAAACACATGACAAGCTCAGCTGTCAGCATTCTGGGGCTTCTCCAGATTATCTTTAAAGCTGAGGTAATATATCTCAAATTTGCTAAGTTAAAATGCATGTGTGAAAAGTGACCAGTGTTCACTAACCCAGTACTTAGAGATGGGATAGAGAGATACATATTCTAATTTTAGCAGATATCATGCAACCATGGATACATCAATATCAGGGCTTCTGCTTCCTCTTGTGAAACATAAATGTTCAATTATCTACTCATAAATATGTCCCTGTCTGCTAAAAATAATGTTGCTTACTCGATATATTAATTGAACTATTCTGATTTTGATAAATTTCAATTTATAGTACCAATGATAAAATTCTTCCCTTCTCCCCAAAAAAGAAATTTAAAACCACTTGTTTCTCAGATCCAGGTTTATTTTCCCTCTTAGAAAGAGAGCCTATTCTAAATGGAAGTCTCTCTTCCATTTTTTAAATTACCAAACCAAAAGTCCTAATGAAAAATTGATAAACTAGCATAATAATAGAAATTAAATAAAAAGTTAGTACTATAATTTATCAAATGATACTTCTCTGTGAATTGATGGAAGGTAATTGTACAATTACTAAATGAGTTTTTTTCATGACAAACTTTAAATTTTTACCATAATAGAATATCATAAATTGTGACAAAAATATAAAAGTTATAGTAATTCCTGTAGCCTTTTATTCAAATTTCTCTTGTAGAATGTAACCAATACAAGACACATGATCTTTGCTTTGAAAACTTTCTCATCTCAAGATTTAATCATGGTACTTGGTACACAGTAGCCATTGAAAGTGCATGTTAGGTAAATGTAGAATGAAATTTCCCTTTATATCGCATAGAACTTTTTAAAAGATGATCTCTGGTATCCAAGTGCACTTCCCACTGAGGTATTCAGACTAATTTCACAGGAGATATAACTTTCTTTGTTACTATACACCACCCTTGAACTTCTTTTTATTATTAATTATATTTAGGTTATGAGTAAATGAAAGTGTGGTTTCCCATTAGGGTTAATCAAAATTCGGCTTCTTCTTGTTTTTGTTTCTCCAGTGTTAGAAACTTAATGATATTGTTTTATGATATGCTCCAGTCCACTGCCAAATATCACAATATTGGATTTAAATTGATTGCAACTTGGTTTTGCTATATCGATAGTGGTTAAAATAAAGGCTCTCGGGCTTTATTTTAAGGTATTTTTTCTTTATTGGTGCAATTTAAATATTTGACTCTTATATCAGAATTGAAGTTTCTCTTTAAAACACTTTGAATATCATAGTAAGAATTGAGGATGTTCTTTAGCACTTTTCTCCTAATAAACCCAATAAAGGTTTTATTTTTTATTAAAGTATAATGTATGAATCATGTCATCCTCCTCCTCCTCATCATCATCATCACCATAGTGATTTACTGCTGCAACAGTGAGGTTCTTAAATTTTGCTTTAATTCGAATTTGCCTTGATTACACTCAGTCCCATGGATATGCTAGAACTGAACCCTGGATTACTTACACACACCAAGATCTAACTGGATGTACTTAGATTTAGACTGGAACTTTAATGAGTCTGTAGAGTAATGGAATATTCAGATTTTATTGCATTTGTGTTTTCCAGTGCATGAATATAATGTCACCTTATATTCTTTACACTTTGTTAATTTCCTTGGTTACATTTTCTTGTGTGTAGTACTGTGGTTGTAATAGGTAACCACCCTGGTGTGTGTGGCACCATCCAGTAGACCTGTGGCCTGGATGAAAAAAAAGGTGGCGAAAGAAGGGATTCATTTTTTGCTTTCTTCAGAGGAGCTCCAGACCTCACCTCCATGCTGGCATGTCTGTCTCCAAGCAGCTGACACAAGTGACAGTGACAGAGCCTGAGGCTCCCACAGGACTTCACAGTGAGCTCCGGGTCTTCTACCTTGGATCAATTGTGTGGTTCTGCAGCATCCTTCTTCCACACCGACTCTGTTGTGGGCATAAAAATAAAAGTATTAAGAAATAAAATAAGAAAGTCACAATTTTTGATCACATAAAAAGCTGAATACCTAGGAGTATTACAAGAGATATAAGTTACCACTGTACAGTCAGATCTCACTAGAGTTACAGATTTAACATAAAAATAATTATATATACTTTTATTTCTTGGGTTTGAAAATTGTGTTAGTCAGGATTTGGCAACTCTTCCTCACATGATGTTTTCATAATACTCTATTATTCATTTAATGGTGGTAGAATTTTCCCCCTCTAATTTTTTGTTTATTACTGACAGTGCATTCAAACTTTTTTTTCTTCAGTAATCATTTTTGGCTTGTATTCACATTAAACAGCTACCTGTATTTCAATAATTCCACATTCTACTTTTGTTCTCTTAAATTTCTTAACTGTATATTTATTTTCTATGTTTATCATTTCCATCTTTTAGAAATTATTTCCCCTTTTATAATTATTGGATGTAAATGGATCATAATTCTCTAGCTTATTCAGGTGGTATCCAGACTAATTCAATTCACATTTTCCTTTTCCTAACATATGCATTTGACATTATATATTTCAAACTTGCAAATTTCACAATGTTCTACAAGTTTTGATGTTCTATATTTTTATTATGATCCCATTCAAAATGTATTCCATTTGTTTTAATTTTTTCTTTGATGTGTAAGTTCATTAGAAGTGTATAGGTTGTTATAATGAATATAGTTATTGTGATAATTTCCAATTGGATATTTTGTAATTCAATCTTAATTCATATATGCATAATTATGTAAAATACATAATTGCATAGACTCAAATGGCTTAAAATTCTTGAGACACAGTGTCAGTGCTTTATGTTAAATTTGACAAAAGCCATGTATTCTTAAAAGAAGTAAGTTTCTCACATTGTATCTTCTAATTTAAGGTTATTAGCTGGCTTTCTGGATATTTAATATTTCTGTAGAAATTTTTGTTTTTTAAATATAAATTTAAAATAACTTTTACAAATAGTTCTGTATACTTATGTGTCTAGAACAATTTTCAGTGCCTACCATACATATTTTGAGGCTGAAGTGTTAGAAATAAAAATTCATTTCATTATTTAGAATGAGAGCCTTTTTCATTATTAGTCTTACTTTTGTTACTTTCATGGCCATTTTGTTAAAGTCTACTTGGCCCAATGACTTTTTTTGTGTGTGTTGACATTTGTTTGATATGTATTTTTCTATGTTTGTTTCTTTAACCTTTCCACATGCTAATATTCAAGGACTTTCTTTTATAAAAAGTGTACTAATTTTCTATTGATGCTCAACAAATTATAAAACTTTAGTAATTTAAAACACTTACTATCTCACACTTCCTGTGGGTCAGCGATCTAGACATAGCTTCGCTGACTGTTCTGCTTGGGTCTCAAGAAGCTGCTGTGAACATTTTGGCTGTGATGCATCCCAAACTCGAGATTTGATTACAAATACATCTGCTTGCATGCTTACTGATGTTGTGGGCACTATCATTTTCTTTGCAGTTACGCTTCTGAGGGCCCCATGCTCACCGTCCCATGAAAGCCTCTGCCAGCCCTGAAGCCATCAGAAATTCCTTGAGGTGACCTCTGTGCAGTTCCCTTCTGTTTGGCCTGGCCATCCTGCTAGTTCACTGCACCAAGGCAGCAAGAAGAGGCTCTAGAGAGAATCCATTATGATGCTGGGCACTTAGATAATGCATTGTGGTATAAGGAAGGAAGGGACATCTGTCACTTATATCCTAATGTGATTGTTACAGATAGAACATAATGTCTGACCACAAATCAGAACAAGAGCAGAATGCATGAAGAATTACAAAAAATCATAAAGAACAGAAGAACGGGAAGTGTGCATTTTATGGGGTCTGGGTTGTCTACCATGTAAAACATTGTGAATTAAAAATAATTAAGTTGGTGTTTGCAATTCATAGATTACAGGGTTCATTTATATTTAGTGCAATACTTTATAGAAAGCAGAGAATTTCGTTTTCTTTTGTATTCACTTCTTTCATTTTTTTCTATTTGAAATATTTTTTCTTTTAAATTAGTATAATTATGTTTATTTTGATAAACATACAAATGTTTATTAGTTCTACAAGAGATATTATATATAACAAACATACTTGCATTATTGGAGTCTTCCATGAACTAATATTTTATTGCTTTATACTCAGAAACATGACCTTATAGAATGTTAAATCTATATAACATACTCTACATTTTGTGGTCATGTATTGTAAGTGTATGTAGATTTTATATGTTACATAAAAATTATATTAGTAACATGTTATATTCTTATGTATATCTTTCCTTGTCTTATTTAGTTTGCCTTACTTGAAGTATAAATTTGAATACTCCATTTCATTTACTTTTTCACTACTATGTTGTTTATTTCATCTAACAATATTTTCTTTCCTATGAAAAATTTATGATTTAGTATATGTTTTTGTGAAGGTTTGAGGATAATTTTTAAATTTATTTTTGTCTGAAGGTATCTATTTTTACCTGTTGTGACTACATATAAAATATAATGTAAATCTGAATTTTGTTTTTAACAAATTGAGCTGATTAAAGTTTACAGTACCATATAAAGTTATCTGTTACTTAATACCACTTTTAAATTTTTATTTGGCTTGGTTTACTACTTGAGGGTTATTTTCGTTTTAATAAATATAGTAAAATTATAGCCACGAACAGCCATTATAAAATTCTACCAAGTAAGGAATGCTAAAGGCAGTGAGTTAAGATAGGACCTACAGGCTATGATTTATTTTTCTTAAAATAAATTTGGAAATTTGTTGCACTACACAGGGAGCCCATTACACTACACAGCCATATCAGGTACATAATCATTCAGTTTAAGAAAGATACACTCTTTCACTTACAAAACATTGGCAAACCTGGGGTAAATAAAATAGGATAAAGATTGTATTTTTCGAAGAAAGTGCAAGAGATAGTGATTATTAAAATTACATGCTGCACTTTAATTTCATATTAGCACTTTTGCTGAAACTAGGTTTTTTAGTGATATGAAATTTAAGTGGTGTTAGCACTAAATTTAAACTCTCATAGACATGATGCTAATTTCACAGTCATAAAGCTCCTACATAAATTTACAGACCTAAACCACATGGCGAATTTAGTAGGCTGCTTTAACTTATTGGAGAGTTTCCCAGGTAAACATCTAAGTACGATGAACAAAAATACTGTCATAATTATAATTAATTTATAATTCAGCTTTCATAAAAGTGTTGTTGATATCTTTACATTGATTAAATCATTGAATACCCACTAACATTCTATCTAGTGAGCACAATTCATCCCCTCAATTTAAAAGATACGAAACAGATGCAGAGACACAGAAACTAAATTTCTGGGAATGGCATAGTCAGTAGGTTTGGATTTAGGCTTCAAATTCAGGCAATCTGCTTCAGCACTTCTGAATCTTAAACTCTTTGTTGAACTATTGGGTCACTTGGTGAAAGCAGTAACATAAGCAGTAATCTCATACATCTGAATGATATTTTCTTGAGTAACAGATAAAGCCTATTTAATATTTAACAATGTATTGGACTTTCTGCCTCATCTGAAGCCCTGAAAATTAATGGAGTGAAAAATTCTACCATTCTGTGCCTCACAGGACATTTGAGAGGATAAACACATTTCTGTAATATAGTATAATTTATATCAAAATTCCAGTAAATGAAAACTAACGTGGGAGAGCAAGTAAATTTCTTCAATATTTGGTAGTTTCAGGGAAATGGCAACAGCTGTATTCTTTTTGAAAGATTAGCAGTTTAGCAGGTAAGCCCAAGACTACTTTAAATGTGTGAGTTATAATAGTATGTGGCCTGTATGTCCAAATGTCTAATGTCTGCTTGGGAAGGAGCAGATCATTATATGTGACAAATGTATGAAGAGATTGAGCTAGATGGACTAGGAGAGAGTGAGAATGACATTTGTAACATGCTATAATTATAGTACAATTCCTTGAAATTACAAAACAATGCAACAGAATACTTCTAGTAAATGTTCTTGTAGGTAAGTCCATTATTTCTCCTTCATAGAGGAATACGTGACTCAGGGCACTGATTAGAGATGCCCATTATTGTGGGGAGGTTAGGGCATCCTCAATCCTCTTGCTATCTGAGTTTAGACAGCTTTACATTAGAAACTAAAAACTTCCCCTGCGATAACTGAGAGAGCTCAACTTTATGCTCAGAAATATTTGAGATATCAGCGCTGGTGCTGGAAACTATGGAAACCTTTCTTGATTGTATGAGAGGGAGACCAAGACCATGCTCAGTGTACAAGCAAAAGACTATGCAAAACTTAATGAAACATATATTAATAATACTGTATTAATAATGTGTTATCAGGAGTGATCAGAATTTTACTTATTTCGCTTTCATGTGTAGTTTAGTACTGCAACAATTTGGAATGACACGAGGGGTCCTTGATTCCATATCTTAACTTGTATTTACACAGCTCCAAGTGAGGAATCCTGAAACACAGGTTAGCTACAAAATTCTTTCTAAAAGTTATGTTCAGATTTTTTTTTTGAAAAAAAAAGTCAAACTCTTGACTTTTGTACTTTCCACAACTACTCCTTTCCTCAACAAAACAATTGATTTGCTCTTGGAAAAGCCAGTATGACAGCAGCAGAGGCTACTATTTAAGGAGTGTTCAAAGAAATAAACAATGAAAGGTGGCTGCTCTAGATCAGTTCCCAGTTATGTATAAACACATGCTCAGGAGCGTGTTACTGGTTTGTAAGAGAGCCTGTGACTCAGGGTGAGATTCCCAAACATCCTACTCCAGTGGTCCACCCACGTGCGAAACAGCAAACGACAGACACATCAGGTTAAAAAATATAAAACTCATCCTGGGCAAGACTGAAGACAAGCAAAACCAGAAAATATAAATGAATCAAGGAGCAGCAAAGACTATTCAGATCATGGAGATAAGGCCAGAG